CCCTGTCTGGTTAGGGTTTGCTCTTTTGTAGGAACTGTCGTTCGGCTTGCCAGTTTCTGGGGTTTGGTAACAGTCAGTTGTAGAGAATCTATGACAAAAGTTACCTTTGCATGGGGAAACCTTCGTGTGTGGTAAGATACCATCATGTATCAACCTTCCGTATTTGACAAATAACGTCTTGTCCTTACCAAGAGATTGAAGAGAGATGAACTTCACAAGTAGTGATGTTCATGGAAAAACTTATTCGACAGCAACGAGCGGAAGTTGCACGACCGTGCTCTCTAAATGCATTGTTTTAACACGCTCTCGAAGGTGCCATGCTATTTTGATATGATTATAATGAAGCGTAAACCTTTATCCATAAAACTGAAGGCTCATTTATGGTAGTAAAAGGTTTAATAATTTATATATTTCCTTATTTTGTATCATCTTTTTTTCCAATCAGCATCACCTTTTGTTCGGTTAAGGATGTCTGCTTCCTAAATTAAGCAAATTACACCACTGCCCTCGTAAGAACGCATGTTTAAATGGGAAAACCATCAACCTTAATAGTGGCAAGAAAAACCACTGCGGACGTAAATGGACCTTATTCGCAGGGAAGCCACGTTCCCCTTAACTTATCTTATTCAATGGATTTGTCAACCACATAATGCACGCTATACGGCAAATATCGTGCTGGGTATCCTGTCAAATGTGTAATAAACCAGAAATTCTAAATTATTCCTCATTTGTAAATGAAAATTATCTGCAATGAACTTCAGTTTCATTGCTTTCGCTGTTATCCACGGGTTCCCAAAATAGAAAAAAACAACCTTGCTTTCAATTCAATATGGCCGCTTTGTGAATATTTTCAATTGTATTAGCGTAAAAATTGCTTCTTTTGTTACAACGAAGCGTAGGCTGACTGTCCAACTCTTACCATGTATGCTGAGCTAACAACGCGGTGCCTTGTTATATGGGGTTCCAGAAATGCAATTATGATACTGTAATATCTGTACAGCGATATGGCGCTAGTGAGTATTGCAAAATGTTGGCTGTTAGCACACTGCGATTTTAATGTCAAAACTGCTCTGCCGTGCAACAAACGCCCACGACAAGGTTTATAATGCAATGCGTGGGAATCGCTGACGGGTTGGGAACTAACACGGGGTACTGGTAACATGTACAATAGTCAGGATAGCTACTGTCAAACCGACCCGATCCTATTGCAAACATCAATTTCCAAACTGAATTTTTATAAACGAAATCTGATCCTGCTGTACGGCCCACCACATTTTATAAGGACTCTGTCGTTTACATACAGTTTAATATTTCATTTTATAAATGAAATGAAAATATTTTTTATAAAGTTGGAAAACGCGGGCTGCTGCCCAAAGTACCTCATTTGTAATAAACAAGCATCATACGATCGATGCATTTTGGGTTTGTTAATAATTGTTTGCTTAGTCTATTCAGACTGCTTTCATTACTTTCTCTTGGAATATTCGAGCTGTGGTTTACCTATTTGTCTTCCCCCCTACATGCACCCCCTGCGAAGTTTGGTTCTGGATTCGTCCTTGTTCCAGCTCGACTCAGCTCAGAACCAATTCGGTTCCGTTCATGAGCAGTCAGTTCTACTCTACTTATCCTCCTGGTTCGGATTAGTGTGGGTCTGTTTGGTTTCTTCCATTCTCGGCCTGCATTGGAGACATTTCCCCGATTAACTATAAATCATCTAGCAACGACAAAATAATTTTCCTTGGGCTAATAAAAAAAAACATGACAAACAGCCATGTCTGCCTGGCGTGTTAGTGATTAAGGCACCTTGTTTAATGCATCAAAATAGCGTGTTAAATTCACGTCAAGGCCCATGAAGCAATATGCACAGAAACCTGAACACACGACAATCAATTTACAATTTCTAATTTGACCTATCAAGGTTAAGCAACACCATGCCCGTACTATCGATTTTTACAAAGGAAGAGTATTGCCTTACGCAGTGTAACTCAGTTAAAAGCGACGTTCTGCCGTGCGAGCAGAAAGTCAAAGAGTCTACATATGTTGCCCTTTTCGGAACATATGTTTGTCTGAAGTATTTGATGCAAAATGTCATTAGCGGTCGGGTTTGTACAGTGGTCGGCCGCCGTTGCATTGAAGCTAAGTGCATGGCAAGGTGCGCGCCGCCATGTACATGTGGCGTATCGTCTCGAGGGCCCTTCATAATTCCGCCGTCAAACTAAACTGCAGCAGCGGAACCGCGCGACACAATTGCGAGAGGTAGCGCCGATGATGCATATTCGGCAATCAGTCAAAATCGGGCGCCGAAAGTTGGCCAGGAGAAAAGCATTCTTTTCTTCTAAACCAATCTGCAGTGTAAATGCTATTGATGCAAAATAAAAGTAACTGAAGCAGAACAATACTTCACAGTGAATTGCAGCCTGTAACTTTGTTGTACCGATCTGATGATGTAGCATGTATGATTTACGATTAGACGATCATATAAACAAGTTGATAATGTAAACAGAAACAAGATAATTTCACCCTCTTTAATCAGTTCATCTTTTGTTGACACCCTCAACACATACAGTATTTTCTCATCTGACACACTTTCACCCGAATATTTCTGTGTTCAGCTGATTACCAGGGGGAAAAATTATCATAATCGCGATGCACGGACGAAATTGGACAATCTGGAAGTCTCTAAATATTTGCGGGTATGGCAAAACAATGCTTTCGTGGCGCGGTTGAACCTTGTAACCTTTGTTGTAATACGACGGGTGGATTCGTGTCCCCCGCCTGGGTCGTTTCTGTCTGGATAGCCGTTTTCCTGCAGGCGATATCTGCTAATATTATCTGCATGTAAAAGGCCGCCGCCTGACGGCTATTATGGTGATGCAGGCCCGAGCCAGCGCACCAGGCGGCAATGCGGACCCTGATTGGGACCGATACGAGATTAATTTGGTAACAGCGTGCAGCACGCAGTAAACACCAGCAGTTTATGCGCAGATTCTATGACGAATGTTCCCATAGAGCTGGGAAATGACATTTCGGCACATTGGTAATCACCGACAACAGACTGGCTTCTTAGATCCTTGTGTGGTAAAAGTATTCCAATTTTAATTTCTGTATATCAAAGGTGAAAATACTAAAAGCTATTCTGATGTATTGGATGCAGCTTCGCAGGGATCTGTTGCATCTAATAGCACTAATGGATATTATTCAAATCTTATTCATATCATGATCGATGACAATGGTAAAACCAAATTTGCAACGTTGCATTTATAGAGTGGCTGTGGTGATAACGAACCAAGTTGACAAATTAATGAATTATGCTTATCGTAAAAATGAGAAGACAGACATTTCAAGTTGACAATGAAGAAGCAAGGTAAAAATGTGAGCCGGCATACATGGTAACAGTTTAATCATCAAACAGCCGCCTAACCTAATCAAAGCAGCAGCCAGCTGCCGGCCACGTCAATACAAGAATCTGGCAGTCAAGTTGACTAGCATTGACAGCGGGGTAAAGCATAGAGAATCATGGTCGTTATTTTAGCGCATCTAAGTGGATCTTCCCTCTACAGCAGTCTTTGTTCAATATCGGTCCGGCCAGTAAATTAAAAATATAAATCAAAACTCAAGGTAACGAAACCGATGCTTGTGGTCGAAATCGTGGACGCATGACTGGTAATGTGGGATGCGGGATCTAGCACTTTCAGCATCTTCCCAACTTGGCAACTCTTCGCCAAACAAAATGAAAGCACGTTTCAGTGGGAGCCCGTAAATGCAACTGGCAGAGTATTTAATGGAAGGGAGAGAGTGCTGCCCGTGCCAAGATACACAGCAAAACGTGTGCTCACGTTCTATCCCCGACCTCGCCTCGCCTTTGTGCGGCGTCTATTTATAGATGAAACTAATATCGGTCACAAAGTGGGCGAAACGATATTAATTTTGACATGGCTGTAAAAGATCACGATCGTATTTTATGACGGACACTCCGTTTCCTCTTTATTTTAAAAAAAGATAGGGTGTTTCTGAGTGAACACATGCCAACCGTGAAAACTGTTTTCCTTGCAATTTGGAATTGGAGCATAACGCGTATTGCTTGCAGTAAATGAATAACTTGCAACAAAACACTATCGCATAATAGTAGTGTTGCGATCAAGGTCAAAAAGATGAAATTATTGTTGCAAGTATTTTTTCGAACACTTGGCATTTTGAGAAAGGGACAATTTATATGGTCCCTCTATAAAAGACAAACTGGAACACTACAGACGAAATTTATTTGTCCCTGCAACAATATCCAATAAGGATGGACCTGGCTATGTCTCACTTGCGTGTACATATTCGAAAAGAGAGTTTTTGGTAAGGCTTTGAGGTTGAATTCTGACTGGCCAAATTCAAACGGAGATTGTGAAAAAATGTTGAGTAGGGCTCACAACTTAATTTAACAAAATGTAATATTATGTAAAGATTGGGTTTGCCCGTGCAAATCTGATTCGGTCCTCAAGTTCATATTCCAAACACGAATCACTCCTGATATTTTGACACGGGCCTTCAGTCCAACAATGGAATTTTTTTTTCGTAATCAGAGATTCTTTTACACTGTGACACGCTCGTCCTACGGACATGATATAATGCAGAGTTCAGTGATAGCGGCCGACCATTAATTAGTGCTGTAATATATGTATATACTGACTAATGTGTATATAGGTTTAAGGTAAGATAGGGGCATCGGCTGGTTAACGAGGTTTTACCAGCGACTTCCGAAGAGGTTTGTGCCAGAGGGAGATTGGACGAAAGCGTTTAATTAAGCTTCTTCAATGCATCCAAAATCTCTCCAGAATGCACCCAAATCAATACCCTGCCAAATGTTGGGATGTTTATGTGAATGGTCAAAAATCATGCAACTCGACATCTTGCCTTCACGCAGAAATTGATTATGAAGAATTACTCTTCACACGTAAACAAATTTAAGCCCAAATTGACCTTAGATTAAGTCTAAAATAGCCTTGGCTACTTACCAAAAAATGACATGAGACGAAAACATCTAATCCACCGATTCATGCAGCGATATTTTGCTAGTACCTTCATTATTCCTGGTGCACCTAGTCCAGGCTGTGCAAAAACTATAAAATCCAAGGGTAGAACGGAGTAGAAATCGAAGCAAAAAGTGGTCTTTAAATAGTGTCTCCTGATTCGCTGTCGGTCCGTTATCAGAATTCCGTGTTTCATGTAGCCGCGGAAGAAGCGTAGAAAAATGTCGATGATGAAAATTGCGTCGCCAACATAGGCAAGTACCCACAGGGCGATGAGTTTAGACTCAAATGAAAACATGAAGAGATCTAGACAAAAGGAGAAGACGGCACTGACTATGACCAGGGTATCCCATACTTGCATCCTCGTGGTGTGGGGAGAGAGGAACCATTTCTGGGGCTCATCGTCCAGTGATGGCGATGCACGAAGCCCCGTCCTCTCGCTCGTCATAGTTTCATCGACTTCCAGAGTCACAGATTCCGACGGAGTTCCCGACATCTTGCTCGACAGGGACAGTTACAATCCGAGAGGATAGCTAGACTCTGTTGTGCTGCGGTGTCGCGCCGACGATGTGGCACAAGGCGGTCTTCATCTCAGTCAGAATGCCAGGTGTTAAAACCCCAACAGCTGAGAAAGGGGCTGTCTGAACTCTGTCAATGTACATTCCATCGTGTAATTTGTAATGGTGAGCGTACTGTCAAACAAGCGCTGAAGACTGACACCAAAAACACGAGCTGTGGAAGTGATGGTTTATAACGCTAAGATTCGTGACCCTTTACTTTTAAATCAACGCGCTGCGCGCTCTTCGTTTTGGATAGAAGCGTCACGCGCCCATTTTCGCCAATGAAAAAACGCGTTCCTGGCTCTGCGCGCGGTTCTGGTAACACTGTTGAATTGTCACTCACAGTCGAATTTATTTTTCCACCTACTTCCTCGCGCAAGGAAAGACGGCATGAACTGTTTTGTAACGGGCGCGGAACAGAGTCGGACCGTTGTCTCCCCTGAGTGGGGCTTATCTCCACGATAGGTTTGCTACCGCCTTCCCATAATATATCAGATCCGTCACTCTGGAGATATTTGCCGCTGTAGTCTGCCGAATTATGCTCCAGTCGTGCTTCGATCGCCAACGAAATAAAAAAAAATCGTCTAGCTTTCTACAACATCGCTGATCCGACGGCCACGGGTACGGCCTTTCCGTTGTGCAGCACCACAGTAAATTGCTGACATGCCACACAGCGCACGGACGAAAGAATCCTGAAATACCGGCTACGGTGGAACATCCCTGTAGGGGTGTTCACAGCGGAGTTCCCTGAGGGGATCAAAATGAATGGAATTTATAATGGTATTGACAAAACATTTTGCTCGATAGCTTTAATATGATCAGAAAACTACAGTCGACGCTGGAAAGGGATTCCCGGATAAATTCCTGCCTGCAATCTTCTGTTTCCTAACTGGCTGATCCAATTTTCTCAGTACACGTAGTTTTTTTGGTAGGCTTCTTTTTTTTTCGCTTACAGTTTAGCTTGGCGGCCTAAATCTTTTGGAGAGGATTTCGATGTCAAAACAAACATTCGAACTGCCTCAAACGGAGCGTTGAATCAAAAATACCTAACTTTAAAAAAAGAGATGTAAAATGAAGAAAGGTTTTTAATTGAATTCTAACACTGCTGACTTTTTTTTCTGAATAGACCTACAAGAGGGCACAGAAAGAAATCTAGCTGTCCATAGAAAATACTAAATTATTTTGAAAATCAACATTTATATTGCCAGACAAATCCAATTCATATTACCGATGTCAGATATAAATAGGCCTATCAAGCGGTCGAATGTACCACGAGAATCCAGTCCAGGTCATTGGCCTACAGGTATTTTTCACAATAGAATCATAGTCGGAATACCATACGAATACTATAAAATTGCGACAACTCTTACTACTTTCTTGCACGTTGTAGTAACCTATTTTCACTTGGAATGTTACGCTATTCATTCCGAGGATGCCTCGAATACCATTGAGAATAAGAATGAACAGTACCGCAATATTCACAACGGCCACTGGAAGATCCTCAGTGAATGTACCTATAGCATTTCTCAGCTTTCTTTGAGTAGAACTGCAAGACAGGTGTAAGTATATCTCAATATATTCGCAACCGCTGTTGTGATACACACTAGACAATCCGATGCTTGTTGAATATACACCGACCTCTGTAATGTCATGTCACTCTTTTGTTTCGTATGCACGGCACTGATTGCACGAGCATGCATAATTGCATTTTTGTTTTCAATTTTGTATTCAAATTGTCCGCCTGCGAAAATAATGGAGGTGCTTTGGAGGATGGTAACACCGTATGACCTTAGTATTGGCTACATAGCTTCGTTTAGCTGTGCCTCTGTTGGCTCTGTTATCTACAATCTGAATAATAAGATTGTTGTGGTTGCATTGAGGACCATGTTTAACCGTGGTAGTTGTGAGGGCAAATGAATTTAATTGCCACAGAATTTCCTGAGGAATCTTCTGTAATATCTCTGTTCCTCCTAAGGGCTCCTGTGCCTTGGTGTGCATCTCATTTGCCTCCTGTTTGCTGAATCGTGAAAGTTGGTACTTGGTGATTTAGAACCGTTTCGAGTCAGTCACTTATACCCATAGAGGGTTTGCAGGACTGCCGTGTTACAGGCCAGTGCTTTTGATCCATAGGGTATGCGCAAAGCCTCTAGGTCTGTATTGCGTCAGTTAGGCACACTCCAAACGGTCAACATTCACACATTGTCATTCCAAGAACCATTTTCAACAAAAAGATCTCAACAAAACACCGGAGTCCATCCTTTGCCGTTTCCTTGCTCTCTGTCTGAATACGACACTTGGTGCCAACCTCATCAACTTCAGTCAACTTGAACCTCAACCAATTTTGTTTTTAATTTCGCTATGCAGGCAGCTACAATGCAAAGCACATGCTCGATGGTTCCTATAACCCGCATCTTGGCACGCTCAAAGGTTATTGTCAATTCAGACGGGGCAGTTGGTAGAGTACGCTGCACGCAATAATAATGCGTGACGTTTTAGGGCGCAGTGGCGTTGACATTATAATTTATCGCATGACTGAGCACGCCCTGAGCATTCAGATGCATACTGATGTGCGTGTCGAGAAAATAAGTGTTATCAAGAGGCGACTAGAACAACTAGGGAGAGACTGTAATGAGATGAAACAAACTTGGCTGTGGGGATTTATCATTAACATAAGAAGTAGAAAATGAATCACCTGTTCCATCATCTGCAGTTGCACTGGCAAAGGACAGATGACACCAGCAACCTTTATCCAACTTTAATTACCATGGATGTGTGGCAATGTAGAATACATTTTTACACGTCAGCGACGACCGCCGAGTGGCGCAGCTGCGTCCGCAGCCTCGAATTCTCTCATGCTGCAACAGATGCTACGCTCCTTTTCGTACATGAAATTATTTTTTATACATGCGCCATTCGAAGTCCTAAAACAAGGGATACACGATAAGTCCGACATTTCGTGGTATGGAGGACTAGTTGTGTCCAAAGTTATGTTTTGAAGCCAGGAGATGATAGATTGTGCGCTGAATTCTGATATTTTCGACAGATGTCGCTTGATACCTTTTGTCGACAAAGTCGACTCACTGTGCAAGGTCGGCCCGATTGTACTAATTTGTCACCTGCTATAAATAATTATTAGAAAGATTATGAGCTTGATCGTAGTTTGAATGAGACCGTAAAGAAAGCTAATTTCATCGTTTCAATCTGGCTAGGTTTCTGTTTGGATTGTTACTTACTCTATGCTTGCCTTCGGTAATTCATATTTATCAACACAGAAGAATCTGACAGATCGGACGTTGCGCTTTCAGGTTGAGGATGTCGCTTCGCTGCGGTGGCCCATGTTTTGCAACCAAACAGAGCAAAACTTATTTTTGAGTTCTTGTTTTTTTGGGGAGGGGGTAAAAACTTTAACTTCAAGGTTCGAAAACTCTGGCAAGCTAGATTTCCTGTTAGTTCAACTACCTCGGAAAACATAGATGTACAAATGTAAACAAAAATAAATCTATAACAGCCTGAACCCTTGTTAACAATGGGTTACTCGGGATCGGTAAAGAGAAAAGATAAGTGGACCCCAGGAGGTAACTTTTGTGCAGATTCGGCCGAGTTAGAATTCTAAAAAAGGACGGAACTTTTCCAATTTTTTTGTTCAGTTTTTCGAGCACAGATTCAAGCTGTGCTCACGCTATGCAGGAAAAACTCGTAAGTTTCATCGAAGGTCTTCTCGACTGGCATTCAATCATAGAACAGGCTTGATGAAAGTCGTTATGGCTATTGTGAAGCCCATTTAAAAACATATGTTGGCACCTTCAAACAATTCTACTGACTGGATTTGACGTTCCGCATAAACAAATAGACGCGTGCTCGTCAAGGCCAGCATGTCAATTTTAAAGGCGCAGTCCACCATATTCTATTTGTACATTACACTCGTTTGAGGCAACAAAAGCGCTCAAATGCAAATTAGAGTGCCTAGCAACTAACCCGATGAAGTTTTAGCACACTGAATATTGAAACAACAATATTCAAGGATCTTGATTTCATTTGACAAGTTGCCGAGTTATATGTTTTGAATGGCGCCCGCTTTTCAACAATAATTTCGTCAGTTCTGTTTTCGATAGCTTCAAATGACGGACTGTACCTTTTAATTGCGAAACGGCAAATACAAATTGGCCTGGTGTAGTGTTTACAGTATATTTTGCCAACAGCGAATTTCGATGAACTATCAAAATGCTGTTTTTCTTAAAGTGTGTCGCACAGGTAGCACTTCGTGTTTTAGGACGGGTGCGAAAGGGCCTTTATTAAACACCTGAAATTTGGCACTAATCTGCTGATGCCGAATCAGGTTTACGTAGCCCAACATTTTCACAGATGGGGGGGGGCTAAGGTCTCGGTCCAGAGGAGTGATTCGGCTTCCTCCTCCATCTCAGTATAATATCATCAGTTACTAATCAGTTATCTCAAAAATAACAAGATTAAACTATTTGTAATTTGTGTTTGATAGCAAAGCAACGATATTTTTGTTTCTCCTAATGTCTTAAAACTTTGTTCTTAATTCCCAATTCTTGTTTTTTTACAAGAAAGGACCCTCTTCTCCGAACAACTGTCTTGAATGGTTTACCTTCACCAGCATATTAAGACTTGTATATCAAAATTTTCATTAATTTGACTTCATTTTTTTTCCTACAAGCAACACTGATTAATCACGTGTATATCATCTATTCCTCTGTGTTCCTCTGTCAGACAGTATTTTGTTGTTTATTATTGACCCCATTCGCGGAATACACCACGTCAGCCCTCTTCTTGATAGAATTGTCCTTTATCATCAGCTATCTTGCATCCTGATTTGGGCAGCATTTCCTCTCCAAGAGTCAATCTGTAATCTTGGTATACCAAGTAACCTTTGGTCATTCATCAGCAGAATTCATTACCAGCGGAGTCCGCTTGCTTTGCTCTTCACGTCCCGCCTCGGCTCTGTTTGCTTAGGTCTCATCTCGTCTTGCTGCCGGTCTCTTGCCCGGGCCGAGTCACTGTCGCGGTGGCTCTCCCGACTTGTCGTTAATTGCCGGCAATCCTATGGCATTGGGCTGGGTGATAGGCATTCCAGAGAGCCGTAATATCCTGGGCAGGAGAGGGGATGCACGGTAGTTAGACTCGGCCCAGTTGCTCTACCGTAAGAGACTAGGCAGATACAGCACAGCCAAGAGATTTATCAACTTGAACCAACTTTGAAATTCATTTTTGATTGACATGCACTGGAAGCAATTGACGGAATTTAAGAACCTCTTGAAAGGGTCATTTTGTTAATTTTGTATGTCATTCTCTTAAAATAGGCCTACTACTTACGCCGACACAGATCACGTCTTGGAATCTTTCACGGATGCGGAATGATTAAGTTTTGGCAATTTTATTTTACCAGAGAAAGTATCTGAACTGTAGACAGAAATTCCAACTGCCGAATATATTTTTCTAGAATCAACGGCCCGCACGCCCTGCAGGGTTAGTAGCTTCGTGCCCAGCGGCGAATCCAACTTTTGGTGTCAGAGGGTAAATTCAAAAGCGAATGCGGCTTTGGGCTTTAATATTCAACATGATCTTGGGGAGAAAAACATATTAAAAGTCTCAATCGCGGTTCCTGCATCCTTGCTTTTGTGTTGTGGCGTTGTTTTATTTGGGTTTTAGTGCTAATATTTGATAAATAAAATAGTATTATTAATATTTGATTTACAAAATCCGTGGAGGGGGGGCAAGTAGAATTTCACCAAATGTGGGCATATTAAAGACTCTTGAGGATCGTCATTTTTCGACACAGTTTGCCAAATAGGCCCCTATGCCGAAAAATTTGAAAAGGTGCCAACTGCGTCCAAACGTGTGTGCGGAAGGCGATGTGAAAAGTCAATGACGATAATTACAGAATGACAACAAAGACTGCAGAACGTCTCATCCGACTCGGCTTAAAACTTTCACACGCACAAAATATGAATGCTTCTTCAAAAAGGTGCTCTTTTACACCCACCCACCGCCCATGTGCTGGACAGAGTATACGCAACAAATAACAGTCAGCCACAAACAAAATGCTGTTTATATTTCTACGGACTTGTTCCAAGCTGATTTTACCAAGCCCATAGTTACATTTACCACGCACGATTTTCAAAAAAGCATCCAGACGTCAGAAAAGCGAGGAGATTCGGAGCTACACAAGACTTTGTAGTACGCGTCTGCTTTCAATTTGCGACAGCGCGCCTGACCATCCTCTTCTTGTAGCAACTCAACCAAACTGGGTCCTGCTGTCTAGGTATCGTTCACCTCGAATCTTCACCGTCGGCATGTCTGGACGACGACATATCCTCATCATTTGAGCCCTAGTCATTATACCGCTCCGGCATCCCATGACCATGATGAGGGACGGATGATGACATATTGTCCTGTCTTGCCAGGCTCGCCTTGATGAGACAATGAACCAGGCTAATCACGCGGACTGCAGGAAACAATCCATTATGTAGCAATCCAGCCCAGATAGATGCATACATTGAATGAATAATTGCTTACGGCCGCAGACGAATACACGAATTGTACAAGCGGAATGAAACTGTACCAGCGGAGTTTAATGCTAAGATTCACTTGGGTGAAACTATTCCTCTGAAATGTATTACTGTGACGGGGCCTGTGTCCGGGTTAATTTCTCTCTTCCTTTGCAAGGTGCAAGTCCTTCGCCGTTTTAAATTATTTCCCGATGAGCGCTTTTGTCGCGATGTCACTTTGGGCGCAAACTTAATCAATAAAGCCGTCATCTTTAAAGACAATGCAAAATTGTATCCTAAACGCAAATCGTCTGAGCGATAAAATTCAATGCACTGAATCACTAAAGAACCAATAACAAAAAAGAAAAAATGTGGTAACTTTAAATTAGGACATAGAAGTTTCTGCCCGTGCTGACGTCCCTCTTTGCTTATATCAAATGCTTCACTAACATATAATCCTGACAGTCCCAGATATGGCCAAGAAATGGCAAAAAGAGGATTGAAAATGATGACGAATGGGCTGAGCATGCGCAGTGATTATCTAAAATACCTTCTTCTGAACTGGGCCCATTAAACCCCTGCATATCTGGGTCTGTGTGTGGAAGGTTTATTAAACAGGCTTTAAGGGCGCACCCAACTACTAGGCCTCAGGATAGGGCTCTCCAGATAGGAAATCAAGCTGATGATTTTAGCTGTTGTCAGATTATTCAATGTGCAAAAAATAATGAAAACTTTGAAACAGTTCAAGGGGTTTTCCTCGGTACAAAATACAATTCATCTCTTGAGTGATTTCGTTTATCGGTTATTACAGCTCAAAAGGGCCGCATTGGGTCGACAGATTTCGCGTGTCGTGATTGGCCAGCGCGTTGCAAACTCTTGGAGGCGCACTATTGTGAATCGCCAATATTAATCATGCACTGGCATAGGTGTGCATTTTCTTCAGATAGACACATTGGTATCAGTGGCTAGCTATTCTGTCCAATGACACTATCAACAAGTGTAAAAAGTCTTTAATTTCCAAAAATCAGTCCAGGTGCTGTTCACTTCACATAAATAACCAAATGCCTCACATTATTTACAATCCAGTGTATGATACATCTCTCAAATGTAAAATTTATCCCACAAAATAAATACACCACACTGAAAAAGGAAAACATGGGATGTTATCTTTGATATAAAAGTGGATGTCTTTTCACACTATATGTGGAATCAAATAACATTAAGTATGCATAGCAAATGCTACATTGAGTGATGGACCTCAACCAATGGACGGACTGATTCTGTGATAGGTCATATACAGATATAAACGTTTGAGCAAGTTGGTTAAAACACAAAACATATTCTTAAAGACTCAGTTTTCTATATATATAAATACCATTAGGTAGAATACAATTAACGCAATCGGATCTGTCGGGGAGGAGGTTGGCAGAGGCTTCACACTTAATCCGTTAATGAATGACTTGACATAACAATCAGGGAAAAACCGATTCAGTGACCTAAGTTACAAAACAAACAAAAAGCAAGAAATGTTAAACTTTTCGGTGCAACTTCAACATTGTTGGCCAACCCAACCCTTGCTACATCTATCAACTTCAACCCAGAGGTTCTGGAGAAGTCTTGCAGCTGACTGAAGATGGTAGAATCCACCATTGCTTGGCATAAGACTAGTTACAAACGTCCTCATCGCTTCATTTACAAAGTATGTGACAATGGGCTCCCGCATAATAGTGCATTTTGAGGATTCATTTATTTCCGTTCATCCAACAGCGCATTTAGCACCAATTACAGGATGATACTGAGTGAAAAAGACAAGAGATGTTCAGTTTTAGAGGTGGGAGGAAAACCCGGATAAATGTTTCGGGGAAAACCCACGGACTCATGTAAGGACTGAAAACCCAATCTACATATATGAACCGAGCCAGTTTAAGCCCCCAGATGTGGAAGGCGAGGGAAGAACCATTATGCCAACCTCACTCCCCGAATTCGACAGCGCATAAGAAATTCAGCTCAAAATCTGTATGTCGCTGCATAAAACAACTTCATACCACAATATTTACCATGGAACAAGAGTGTGTAGGTACTCACATTTAATCCAAAGATTGTATTTTAACGGAGGTGATTTTGTTTCAGATTCATAGCTCGATTCAAAGGTGTAATATATGCCACCCCTTCCCATTCTTTTATTTTGCATAAAATGATAAAACATGGGTTTAAGTACTTGACTGTGCCGGAACCATCAATCATCAAGATTCATTTGAAAAATGATACTGTAATAACGCCGAGTCATAATTTGTCACGGTAGCATGAGTAACACAGATAGTCATTTTAATTAAGTAATAAAGCGTCGTGGTCCAACGATTTGCGAACTTAACATCTGAGGTGACGATTACATTTCAGTGCATGGCTGACAGGCTAGCTGGGTAAAATGCCTGCCAGACTAGACAGCATGGGTTTCGGTCTATTGCTGGGTGACCTGGCTGTTTGTCTAGTTAGGTGGCCTGACTGCCAGCGTACCTAAGCAAGGCATCTTACTGCAATGGCTTTCCTCCACAAGTAGTCTGTGGGGTTAACATGTTTGACATGGTGGCACCATTCAGATTCATAGCATCGAAAAAAACATGCAACAAGTTGCAGGTGAACTCATTCAGCTCAACAAGGCTCGGTTTCATATTTTACAACCCCAAATTGTAAGAAACAATTTCACTGCGGAGCAAAAGAAAGCCAAACTCTGACCTAAAGGAACGTGCAATGCGTGGCATCCTGGAAGGAAAACTTTTGACGAAATAATACTGTCTGGTTCGTTAAAACAGTGAGCATAACAGTTCCACAAAAACTGTACCCGATTTGGGAGTATCCCACTCCACACGCAAACTACCAGTCCACCCAGGACATTTCAGGACAAACTGACAGAAACATATTTCAGGCGGTCATCGACGCAAATACTTGCAAATCGTACACAGAATGATGGTTGATCAAGTCCAAACAAATATCACAGCGCAGTTGGCTGTTAGCAGGGACAGTGATTAATTCCACCTTACGCCTTCCTACCAAGCGATGACTTCTTACAAATAACAAAGTCGAGTACGCAAGGTCCAAATCATGAAAACTGGGTCCATTTAGGTTAAACATTTTAGACAATGTTAAACAGATTTAGAGCTTCTTCTTCAAACTTTTGATACAGGTCATATCATACCATTTAGAGTTTTATAAACAGATGATGAGATACATTTGCTATTTTAGAGAATACAGAACAAGCCTGACTTTGAAAACGTTTCAAGTTTGGCTGTCTAACCGTTAATACGGTCACAAGATCTTTGCACATACTGGACCTGTACAATCTATTAACACAACACACTACTGAAGAGTTGAATGGCAAACAGTGACAAATGTTACGGAAGTACAGCGTCAAAAATAATGAAAGCAGGCAGCAAAAAACTAGACAGGAATAATACTTGACGCACCTAGAGTTGCATCCGAGGGTCAGCTTACTTCCAAGGATTGACAGAGGAAGATCCGTTGCTCGGATGCGATCTATCGATGGAATCTGTGGCGGAGTGGAAAATCAAAACAATCCATGACGAGCCAGTTCGTTGCCTCAAAAAGAACAAGGTAATCGAGAAGAAAGGGTCCTTTCCAATTTGCAGAAAGTGTTCTATAAAGGAGCTTCGTGCTAAAAAAAATCTCATGACATCTGGTCAGGCATGTTACATTTTGAGCATTGCGAAAGAGATTTTGACTTTCTTTAGCTCAAACTGACCGACCTACCTGCAGCAATTGACGCTTGGCTAGCTCCTGACCTGCGAATGGACAACTCGGCAGCACTGCAACAGAACGGACATAATGAGAATTACATCACCATAATTCAAGTGAGTTCATTTCAGAGTATTTCATTTTATCCTCCAAATTAATCAATTCACAGTTACCTGTAATTAAAAGTCAGTTTTAACATTGTCAAAGAGGTTTCAGAATTTTACTGATAATAAATTAATCATTACATGTGAAAAATTTCACCAGTAAGTCGGTATCAACGGCTGGATCAGTGATATCACGTAAACAACAAATTATCATCAGGGACCTTACGTAATACTCTAATGACAGATTGCAAATATGAAACTGAAGGTGATCTTCTCTCTCGACACTTCTTTTGATGAAGATCGGAACCAGACTATTCTTTTCAACCCACCTCAGTTCTCGGACCTCTCTTCTTGATTTTCTGACGGGCGTTGCAGCTGGTCTAGTGTCTTGACTCCTGTCCACCTCATCATTTCCTGGCACGAAGAGAGAAGAGGAGCTATTGAAAATTATCAGTGCCTTTCAGAGTTTGATTTCAACTAGTAGTAAATGAAAATCCAATCCACAAAGTGACCCTTGTCAAAGTGACAGAAAGCAGAGCCAGTAAATATGACTTTCTGGTTGGTAACAAGATCAAATGGTTCATAT